TGGAACGGCACGAAGCTCCATAATTTATCAACCGTAGGAGTGGAAGAATGTCTTAAGCTCCTGAACCGAAAATTGATACTCAGAAACCTTTTAAAGTTTCTGAGTTTGGATTTTCATGAAACTGTAATGGACAGTATAAAAATTGCGTTTCGTAAATGAACACCTCATCCGGAAAAGTAAATGCTAACGGCTAATGACGACCTGAGATTCGCTGCGAATGAAAACCGGTAATTGCTGGGTAGAATTAATACTAGCACTTGCTATTCCAAAGGTTTAAAAAATATCAAAAAAGATCTCCCGTAAAAATAAGAAATTGGGAAAAAACGAACGAAATCGCGTCGGACTGGTAAATTTCGGAACGGGAACATGGAACAACTTTTAACGATATGGGATTGGTGCTTCCGAAAGCGCTCAAAAACCGATCCACACACTTAAATTCGCAATATTTGGCGACACCCGAATCGCACAGTAACTTCACCATATCACCACGGCCCAGAAGCACCTGAAATAGGGGAAAAAAGTCTGATGAGTTCGAAAGAAAATTTTCAACAAATGATGATGTCCCTCAAAAAACCCTATAAAAGGAAGAAAGAGGGGATGACAAGAAGAGACCAAAACAGAATAAAGGGGGAAACGAAGAGAGTGAAATCAGATACTAATGCAGTAGCACTTAATCAATAAAAAAGAATAAATATAAGCGCACACTGCAATTGCTGATGCGATCATGCGTTTTGTGCAATTCCGTCCACAGAACGATTGCCTGTTAATGATTTTCACTGCTTTGTACTTTAGTTTGTGCAAAAATAGTTGAAACGCTGAAAAATAGTTAAAAATTTCACAGACAGGCAGTGAAAGTCGAATTTGAAACCTCGAAGAGCGAACATCCTTTCAAAATCTCAATCTTCTAATTTTCTAGCTTTCGAATGATGTCTGAGACAAAACTTTCACGTGATCATAGTGAGAACTCGGTATACTTAAAAGCTGAATTGAAGTTTGTGAAGCCCCTGCTTAGACAGGAAACATTCTCCTGAAATTTTTACTCCCTAACTCTTCTGGCTCCCAAGATAATGATTTGTCTTGCCAAAACTTTCACGGGGACATTGAAAATTTGCGGAATTGCACGTGAGCAAGGGAATCCACGCTAAGATTTCACCTTCCTAGCTTTTGCAGTTCACAAAATAATAACTTACCCGCAAAAATTTCCACGAGGCCGTTCATGTTACCCGCGGGCAGGGGAAGGATGAGTTTAAATTTTCTGGGTAGCACGTGGGCAGGAAAAATTTTCACAAAATTTCAGCCTTCTAGCTTCCTTGGTTTCCGTGATAACGATTTTATCCGCTCAAACTTTTACGGGGTCGTATGTGTTACCCGCGGGTACGTGGAGGCTGAATTTAAATTATCGGAGTCGTACATGGGTGGGGAACGTTCGCCTAAATTTTCAGCTTCCTAGTTTTCGTGGTTCCTGAGTTAAAAGTTGCGGACAAGTTGCTGCAAACACATACATACACAGACAACCCCGTGACAGTACTGCTGTTACACAGCACAAAACGCATAAAAACCAAACTGAGCAAGAAAAAAGCTTAAATATTATTGAGAATACTAAACAGTTCTAGGTCTCCGTTAACGAAAATACGATGATTATTAAGTAATCCCAAAGTTAGAAGAATCGCACATACGCTACCCTTCGAAACTGATAATGTATAAAGTGACAAACCTTGGGCAGCACATCCAAACTATACTTTCGCCAATCTGGATCAGTTTGTTGCCAAAGTGAGACTGTATCAGTACACGAATCCAGCTCCATCATATTGCTAAATGACAAAAACTTGAAAACGAGAATTATACAACATGGTCACCCTGTCCACCGTTTAAAATCTCAAACGAACAAAAGAGTCCGTTTTTTTTCTTTGTATTATATGCTAAGTTTAAAATCATGAGAAAATAGTAAGTAACACATTCAACTTCGGAAATGTTGCCAGCTGCACAGGAGTTGCGAAACCGCTCTGGGTTTACTTACTTCGTCAGATGATCAAAGTGCGAATAAAACATGTCATTTTTCAAGACAAACCAGACTACTGTAATTCGTCTGGTCGGATTTATACAGCTTAATCACGAATGTTTTTCAACGTATATGAAGAGAAAATCCAGGCTGGGACGCACCAGGCAGGCCGGTGCGATCATGCGTTTTTCCACTTTTCCTGCCATAGCAAGATCGCAAGGAATCACAGCAGCTAGTCCTGCGACATACTGGCCCTCGAAGTCCGGAAGTTAACTATGCAGTTATGTAGTATGTCATTTGCAGATGCCGACTTCAGTGACCCGACAAATGGAAAGTTGCTGGCCCGCGAAAAAGGCCGCGCTAGAAAAAAAAAATAAATTTGAAATCTTTTATTCGCACATGAGTAGGGAATATTTCCTTAAAATTAAAGCCTTCAGCTTTTCCCGTTCCCGAGTTAGCAGTTTCTCCATCAAAACTTTTACGTGCTCGTACATGAGTACCGGACGGTCCTAAGGAGATGAATGTGAAATCTTTTGGTAGCACATGAATGGGGAACAGTCCCCTAAAATTTCAGCTTTTTAGCTTTTTTCGTTTCCAAGTTGACAACCTTTCCACCAAAAGTTTCACGTGTCCCATCCCGGGCTTCCCTAAACAACTGATTTTGGTCGCACATAAGTTGGGAACGTACCCCAAGTCTTACTTTCCTAACTTTTCTCGATCTCGGGTTAGTGATTTTCCCGCCAAGACCTTCACGCGCCCGTACGAGAGCGCCGGGCGATTCTAAGGAGCTGGGTTTGAAAACTTTTGGACGTGCGTGAGCAGGAAACTTTCCTCCAAAATTTCAGCTTTCTAGCTTTTGTCGTTCCCGAGATAAATTTTCCCGCCATGATTTTTACATGCCCGTTCGCAAGTCTCGGGCAGCCCTGGGCAGCTAAATTTGAAACCTTTTTGCCGTGTATGAGTAGGGAACATTCCCCTAAAGTTTCAGCTGTCAAGCTTTCCTCGTTCTCGAATTAGCAATTTCCACGCCAAAACTTTCACGCGATCGTACGCGGGGCTCAGGCATGCATAAGGGTTGATACCGCGGTCCTGGAGTAGCACTTGGCTGGAGAACACATCAGCAAAATTTCAGCTTCAAAGCTTGCGTGGTTGGCGAGTTGAAATACCAGGGTACACACACACAGACGCACACAAACAAACACACTGATAGGGTGGTTGCAATATGTCTTTTTGTTGCCTGTTGCAGCACTCTAGCGCTGCACGGCGAAAACGCATAAAAAATGCGAAAGTCTACAAAAAAGACGAAAACTAAAACTAATAATTAATAAAACCAGTGATTCGCGATAAAAAAAGTGAAACTAATATGCCTGAGAAAAAGAAACTTTGTGGTCCCAACACAAATAACGTAGATAAACAACTGCAAACTTGTGCAAAATTACACGGTACTGCAGTGCAAACAGGTCACAGACCCTCAAATTAAAGTCTAAACCTCATTCATAATTTACTCCCTGACATACGGAAGAAACTTGGCTGTTAGCAAATGCTAACAGTAACTATGTGATGGCAAAACTGTCTATGTTCTCCCTTTTAAAAGTTATCCAGAAGTAGGCTGATGGCGATTTTGACTTCCTGATATGCGCCAGCACCAATTTACGTTGAAAAGAATGAAAGAATTATAGAATAGTTGCTGCTTCTCTATTAGCAAAATCGAATTTTTAATTATAAGTCCGAAAACGGCGTTGCGTGTTACATTGCCATATCGCTCGCTGTAAGAAGTTCAAGCCAGAAAAAAATGTCCTCAACAACACTGCTTCTTCCATACAACTACGGCCTGCCATTTCCCCTTTACCCACTGCACTTTTGTATTTTTGTAGCCAAATTTTTAGGTATTTAAGCGGGGCAATATCCAAAAACTTACTCGCTGTGAGGATGCTGACGTACATTTTCAACGAAGGAATGACAACCGGCCGCAATGAACTGTTCACCACTGCGTAGCAGAGACTCCGGGTCGACATCAGACACGGTGCCGTTTCTGCGATCATTTGTAATCCACTGATCGATGGTTCGAATATTGAATGATGACCACAAATCCCCATAAAAATTGTTCCTAAATCGATTTACTCTTATATTCAGGTTTCTATTTGCTCCGGCTAAATTGCCCTTCTTCCAGAATCAACCAAATTTAATTAAGGAATGTTATTTCCGGGAAAACATAAAACAAAAAATCACGGTTTGATTTAAACCGTTACACCGACTCTTCAAGCAAAATATATTTTGAAAAACATCATAACAAAATATTTCTTACTATTGTGAAAATAACAAATATCACGATAAAAACAATAATGTGAAAGCTTTCTCTAATTAAAACATGATGAAAATTATAACATAAATACTTTTATTATAAGAATGATAAGGATGGCAAGTATAGTGTAGTGTTAAATAGTATTGTGTTGCTATTGTTTATTATTATTGCTGTCATTATTACTACTACTCTAGCCTTATTATGCGTTTTGTGTTGTGTAACAGCAGTACAAAACGCATATTGTCACGGGATTGTCGGTGTGTGTGTTTGTGTGTGTGTGTGTGTGTGTGTGTGTGTGTGTGTGCGTGTGTGTGTCCGCAGCAATTTGTCCGCAACTTTCAACTCAGGAATTACAAAAGCTAGGAAACTGAAAATTTAGGGAAACGTCCTCCACCCACGTGTGACCCCGCAAATTTAAATTCAACTTCCCCATACCCGCGGACAACACGTATGGCCCCGTGAAAGTTTCTTACGGATAAACTAATATCTCGGGAACCACGGAATATAGGAGGCTGAAATTTTAGGGTAAAGACCCCCTACCCACGCTCAACCTTGCCTATTCAAATTCAGCTTTCCCGTACTCGCGGGCAACACGTACGGCCTCGTGAAAGTTTTTTACGGGTAAATTAATATCTCGGGAATCACAGAATCTAGGAGACTGAAATTTCCTGCCCACGCTCAACTTTGTCCATTCAAATTTAGCCTTTCCGTACCAGCGGATAACACGTGCGGCCCCGTGAAAGTTTTTTACGGGTAAATTATTATCTCGGGAACCTCCAGGTCTAAGGAGCTGAAATTTTGGAGTGACAACCTCCTGCCCACGCTCAACCTTGCCTATTCAAATTCAGCGTTCCCGCGCTCTTGAGTATCACCT